CCTGCTTGTGTTCCCTCTTTCTCTGTGTCTCTCTCTGTCAAATAAATAAATAAAATCTTTATTAAAAAAAAAAAAGATGGCTTCAGTGATAAATTCTACTAAATCTTTAAAGAAGTAATATGAATCTTTTGCAAACTCTATCTGAAAATAGAGGAGGGAATCCCTTCCAACTCATTCTGTGAGGCCAATATTATCCTGATACCAAAGCCAGACAAAGATGTAATAACACAATAAACCAATATCTTTATGACTGTAAACACAAAAAGTCCTCAACAAAATATTAGAAAACCAAATCAAGCAACATATAAAAAAGATTACACATTATGACCAAGAGGGATTTATCCCACGAATGTAAAGTCGGTTTAACATCTGAAATCACTAATGTAATACACCATATTAACAGAAGAGAGGGCAAAAACTGCATGATCATTTTAATAAACGCAGAAAAAAACATATGGCAAAATCCAACACCTACTCATGATAAAACTTCCTTAACCTGATAAAGGGCTAATAAAAACTTTAAAAAAACCTAATGCTAACATCACACTTAATGGTGTATGTTTGAATGCTTCTCTTTTAAGACTGAAAACAAGGCAAGGATGTTTGCTGTCACTACTTGTATTTAAGACTATAATGAATATTCTAGTCAGTGTAATAAAGCAGGAAAAAGAAATAAAAGACATGCAGATTAGAAAGGAAGAAATAAAATTTTATTATTGGCATGATTTTATATGTAGAAAATTTTAAGAGAGACACCACACACACACACAAACACAGACCCCAAAACAAAATGAAAACAACGGCAAAATCCTACTAGAACTATTAAGCAATTTCAGCAAGGTCACAGGATACAAAATAAACAAAAATTGAATATCTATCAATCTGAAAATGAAATTAAGAAAACATTTCCATTCACAGTCGCATCAAAAAGAATAAAATACTTAGGAATACATTTCACAAAAGAAGTACAAAACTTTTACACTGAAAATTATATAACATTGCTGAAAGAAATCAAAGGAGACCTGAATGAGATACATTCTATGTTTTTGGATTAGAAGCCTTAATATTATTAAGATAGCAATACCCCCACAAGTTGATCTATAGATTTTATATAACCCCTATCAAAATCCCAGCTGCCTTTTTTTTTTTGCAGAATTAGACCTTAAATGTATATGGAACTGTAAAAGACCTAGAATAGTTAAAACATTCTGAAAAAGAACAAAGCTGGAGGACTCACACTTCCCATTTTTAAAACTTACTACAAAGCTACAGTAATCAAAATAGTGTGTTACTGGCGTAAGGACTAACAAACAGATTAATGGAATAGGATTGAGAGTCCAGAAATAAACCTCTACATTTATAGTCAATTATTTTTTGACAAGAGTACCAGGTAATTCAATGGGGACAGAATAGTCCTTTTAATAAATGATGTTGGAACAACTGGATAGGTGCATGCAAATTAACAAAGTTGGGCCCCTACCTCACACCATATGCAAAAATGAACTCCAACTGCATTAAAGACCTAAAAGTAAGAGCTAAAACTGTAAATCTCTTAGGAAACAAAGGGCTATGTATGAGCTTGGGTTAGACAAAGATTTCTTATGTACAATACCAAAGGCACAACTGATAAAAGAAAAAGATAGATAAACTGGACTTCATCAAAATGAAAAACTTTTGTTGTTTCAAAAGACACCATCATGAAAGTTAAAACAACTCACAAAATAGGAGAATATATTTGCAAATATTTGTAGATATAGCACATATTTGATAATGGGATTTTAATGTAAAATACGTAACAAACACAATTCAATAAGACAAATAACCCAAGTAAACAATAGGCAAAAGATTTGAAAAGACAATTTACCAAAGATATATGAATGACTAATAAGCTCATGAAATGTTCAAAATCACTAGTCATTAGGAAAATGAAAATCAAAACTATAATGAGAACTACTTCACACCCACCAGAATGACTGTAATCAAAGAGACAGACAATAAGAAGCACTGGCAAGGATGTAGCAAAACTGGACCCCTCAAACGCCACTCGTGGAAAGTAAAATTGTACAGTCACTTCAGAATGAGTAATTCCTCACAAAGTCAAACATACATAGAATCACCCATAAATCAGCAATTCCATGCCTAGGTACATACCCAAGAGACTGAAAACACCTGATCACACAAAGACTTGTACACATCTTCATAGAAGCATTATTTTTTTTTTTAAAGATTTATTTATTTATTTGAGAGAGTGAGAATGAGAGAGAGAGAGTACATGAGAAGGGGGAGGGTTAGAGGGAGAAGCAGGCACCTCGCTGAGCAGGGAGCCCGATGCGGAACTCGATCCAGGGACTCCAGGTTCATGACCTGAGCTGAATGCAGTCGCTTAACCAACTGAGCCACCCAGGTGCCCCGAAGCATTATTTATAATAGCTAAAAACTGAAAGCAATCCAAATGTCCATCAACCGGTGAATGGATAAACAAAATGTGGTATATTGTACGTACGGCACAATGTTATTTGGCAGTGAAAAGGAATGTACTGATACAAGCTACAACATGGATAAACTTTAAAAACTTTATGCTATGTGAAAGCCAGATGCAAAGACCACATGTTGTATGATGCCATTTACATTAAATGTCCAGAAAAGGCAAACCTATAGAAACAAAGTTTAATAGTGATTGCCTGGGCCTGGGTAGGAATAGGGAGTGCCTGCAAATGGGCACAAAGAATCTTTTTAGAGTGATGCAAATTTTCTAAAATTCGAATGTGGTAATACTTGCCCAACTTTGTAAATTTTCTAAAAAATCATTGAGTTGTAGCCTTAAAATGAGTGAATTTTATGGTATGTAAATAACACCTCACTAAAGCTATTAAAAATAGCTATGAAACCACAATGCAGTTTTATGTGTAATTCTGGCTTTTAAATATCTATGACTGTAAGACTTTTTATTTATTTATTTATTATTTATTTTATTATTTTACTTAAAGATTTTATTTATTCATTTGAGAGAGAGAGAGAGAGAGAAAGAATGAGTACGGGAGGGGCAGAGGGAGAAGGAGAAGCGACAATCTGCTGAGCAGGGAGCCCCACAAAGGCCTCCACCCCACGACCCATGAGATCATGACCTGAGCCAAAGGCAGGCGCTTAACTGAATGAACCACCCAGGTGCCCCTATAAGATTTTTCTAAGTTAGGTCAGCCCCAATTCCCAAAGATAATGTGGCTGGGCCTCCCAAATCTTGAAAACCAATCCTAAATTAATATTATGGTTCTATGAATAAATAGATCAAATGCATTAGTGCCTGGCACCTATTGGGCCTCAATAAATGTTTACTGGATGAACAATTAAACAGTCTTCCTGGTGTGATTTTTCTCTCCAAATACCTCATACACCTGATACCTGAAACTCAGTTACTTAGGACAATTTTTTTTTAAACTAAAGAAAACTTAAATAAATGCAATGTCCCCAGAGGAAAACCTGCTAACAGTGGGTTGGGCAGGATTTGATGGGCTAAAATGAGGTAACATATTAACTCCTTCATGCTGCTGACTCACTTGGTTTAGGAGTAGGGCTTGGGGAGTGGGAATGTGTGATTCACAGAGTGACTCAGAGATCCAAGCTGACCAAGCTTTAACGAACAGGAGTCACGGCAGACCAAGAGATTGGAAATCTGTGGATGATCTTTTCACCACCATTGGCCAGAAGTGACACAGGCCACCTGTGCTAACATTTCTTTTTTTCTCTGCACTGCAGAGGGCTAGGATATACAGGGGAATAAAGAGATATTTGAGTAGATTTGATGAGCATTGCAGCCCACCACATCAGTCATCTGCAGCAAGGGGACCCTGTCTCAGAGTTATTTGCCAGAACCAAAGATTCCTCCTTCTGGGTCCACCTAAGTAAGAACCACTGATCAACAACTTAGGATCCTTTGAAGCAAGTTTTGAGTCAGGAGACAAACACCCTGCTTCGTGTCTCTGAAGCACTCTGCTTTTTTGGGGGGGCGGGGAGCTAATCCTTGATTCACTTTTATTTACTCAACACTAAGGAAAGTATCTGGTACATGGTGGCAACTCACTGAGTGTATGTAATTTAGTTTCATCTCAGAGAAACAGGTCAAGTGAAAGCCTACCGTCCGAGTAAGAACTCCTCCCATCCTCCCATAGTGTTCTTCAATCATAAGGTTGTTTTTTTGCTTTTTTTGTTGTTGTTGTTGAAATTCCTTCAATTCACTTAGATAGAACCAAGAAACACACTTAAATCCTGAGGCAAAAGGAGCAAGAACGGATCCAAGGTAAATAAATAACAATCATGGTTAATGTTAACTGTACGACCACTCCCACCACATTTAGTAAAATTTGTATTTGTACCACTAAACAAAAAAAGAAGCTCAATGCTTTAGAAGAATACAAGGCAATGCCTTAACATTTGTTAGTCCACCATGGGAAAGTGAAGTTACTTGGATAAAATCTCTTATGAGTCTGCGACCAATCTGTACTTCATTATTTACAGTATTTAATCTTTTAATTTCCAGTCTCTGTTCTTGGAACCACCTTAATTTACATTATCAGTTTAATCTTTTCCCATTACTACTTTCATTAGGTCTCACTCCTGCTGAAAACCCAGGACCAAACCCTTAAATTCTGGCAATTTTGACTCTTCATGTAACTTCTTACGTCCTTTTTGCCTTAAAAAACAACAACAACAAACCAAGGGCCCAAATGAAGCCTGTGCTGCAGTCTGAGCCAATTATTTTTTAAGCTTGCACATATTTGCTAACAACTCATCCATTACCTGGGATGCCACTCACCTTCTTTTTGATCTACTGAAATTTTGCCTATTGCTCAGGACTGAATTGGTCGAAAGCTCACTGTGAAGCTCGCCCTGAATAGTTCAGCTCACACTGATCTACACTCTTGAAGCACCTGTGGTCTACAATAGGCATCTATGCATCAAGAACTGTCCAGAAGGGGCGCCTGGGGGCTCAGTTGGTTAAGCAACTGCCTTGGCTCAAGTCGTGATCCTGGAGTCCAGGGATGGAGTCCCACGTTGGGCTCCCTGTTGGGTGGGGAGCCTGCTTCTCCCTCTGGCCGTCCCCCCTCTCATTCTCTCTCTCTCAAATAAATACTTAAAAAAACCCAAAAAAAACAAAAAAACTGTCCAGAAGTTTTGACTTAAATGTTTTGAGCCTCATTTTCCCAGCTAGAGTATGAGCTTGAGGGACTTAATTTTATTATTTTATATCCCCATATAACAGAAGTCATTCAAGAAATATTTATTGCATACCTACTATAAGTTATGCCCTGTAGAGATATAGATGTGCCACTAAGATTATTTGTTAGTTGAATTAATACCTGAAGAATCTTTAAGATGCTGTATTTTGGAATTTTATATTGGGCCGAGTCCTAAAAAAGTATTATGTTGCTATTTCAAATATAAGTTATTCTTGTTTATCAGTATTTTCCTGAACTTTCATGTTTTAGTTTTAATGAAAATCTCATTTTGAAAATATAAATGTTGGATTTCTTTTTTGAGAATTTATCCTTATGTTAATTACCTACTGATTCTGCTTCATATAACAATATTATGTTTTCCTTGGTCATTAGATTTGTCTCTGAATTTCCTAATCTACAAATACACAAAATTTGGATCCAAAGCTGATTCTAATGTTCTTTTCTATCTTCTGATAGATGAATTGTCTATTATGCTAGGTATAATATACAAAAAATACCCATTTTACTTAAAAATTACAAAAATATTACTAAGTGTCCCTTTAAATTCGTATTAATGCAACAACAACAAACCACGGCTTTTTAGGGTATATAATAACCTATAATTATTCTTATTACCTTGTTCCCTTTACCATTCAAAAATCCACTGATTATTTGGAAATAACATTCTTCCAACCTCACCCTAAAAACACTTTCTGAAAACTCCTCTTCCTGCCACTCTTAGATTGTGCCTGTATGTTAAATTCTCCTTTGACGCTTATTCCTTTAAAACTATCGAAAAACGGGAAAAGTTTCTTTAACTCTCAAATCTGTGTCGTAAAATCCTTTGTTAGATTTACCCCATACGCAGGAGAGGTTCTCCGTTTCCTTTTCCAGCGAATTACACAGTTGTCTCGGCAGCCTGATTTGCCAGTTTGATTCCCGCTGTATCAGTTTGCGATTCTTTGTACAAATTAATAACCATGAAAAAGTCTAAAGCAGGGCAGTTCCAGAGTAAATTATAGCAGTCTTTTCCCGTAAAGCAATCTGGTACTTCGCAAAACTCCAGGCGAAGAATGAATGATAGAGCATGCACCAATAGGGAGTGGAGAACAGTATTTTGTCGAAGTTTGCAACCCAATCCTGGGGAGCCAGAGGTGGGAATTTTAAAATGGGGTTGTTTTTTTTCTTGGAATTTTCTTAAAGTGGTATCGCTGCCTGCTGATGTTAAAGTTTGTCAAAGACTGCAAAATCGCTAGCTTAAAGAATTTTGAGTGACTGTTTTGAGTGAAGCAAGATGTGAAAATAGACACACATCCAAATGGCCATTCTGACACATAGAATCACGTGGCTATTTTTGTGTCAGTTTCAGGGGCGTAGAAGTCATTGTAAGATGATTCTTTTTTTTTTTTTAAAGATTTTATTTATTTATTTGAGACAGAGAGAATGAGAGAGAGAGAGCACATGAGAGGGGGGAGGGTCAGAGGGAGAGCCTGATGCGGGACTCGATCCAGGGACTCCAGGATCATGACCTGAGCCGAAGGCAGTCGCTTAACCAACTGAGCCACCCAGGCGCCCCAGATGATTCATTTTTTATGATCAAACATCAGATGTTAAATTAATGCGTTAAAATATTTCATGTTTTTAAGAAATGAAAACTACGTGGCTAACATTGATTGCTTTAAAATTTTGTCATTCTATTGTTAATCATTTGGGGGTCACTTTCCAATATTAGGAGCAAGTTTTATCATTTGGGTCGATACTTAACACCCTATTTTTGTTTTTACACGAACTGTAGGTTTCCTCATTATAAGCCTAGCAAAAAGTTCTTAAGTACTACAAATTCTTAGGTATTTAGAAATGTGTATCAAAGTTCTTAGAGCTACATGACATTCCCCATGCCATATACTTCAGTAACTTCTGAAGACCAGGTTTAATAAATAGGAGATTAGTATTTCATTATAACTCGTATCTTGTTTTGGAGTAGGTGTTATTCTTATTTAGTATAACTCTGCTTTTTAGATTATTCATCTCTAACAGTAATTAAATAAACCCACGGGAAACTAGTTATAAAGTCAAGGTTGCTTGACAATGCATCACTAATAAATTAACAGCAAGCTTTTCAAAGAACAATGACAGCAGTTTCATGAGAGGAAGTTTAAAAAACTCTTCATCTCACAAAATTGTAAAATTGTTTTTAAAATGTTCCCTAACAATGTTTGGAATTCTTTTCTTTTTACCAGTATAAAGCGTTCTTCCTTTGATGTCTCCTTCCGCTGACATAGGAATTTTCGTCTTAAAGAAATATTTATTGACGGCCTACTCAGTCACGCTAGGAACTGAGGTAATATTTAACTTACTAAGCTGTCATTGCCCTTTTAAGCGATCGTTTCTCACAATAGACCTCAGGTATTTCAAGAGTAGAGACTAGATTACGCGCCTCATCTTTGGAACAAACCTGTCAGCGCGCACAGTGAGCCCTTAATCCTATGCTTAGGCTCACCACCTGACACTAACCTTGGCCATATGACATAAACCCACCAGACCTCAGCTTTTCACTCGTTAAACGAGTATAATAATAGTACCTGTGTCATGAAATTGCTCTGAGGATTTAGTGAGAATATGCACAGCTCTTAGAACGCTGCCTGGTACACAATAAGCGCTCGGGTGTTATTATTGTTGTGGTGACTCCCCAATGTGTACAATGAATGAGAGCGGGAGTGCCTGAATGAATGTATGAATGAAAGAACACATCAGTTATTGGCAGTTCCCGAGGTTGGAGCAGGCTAAATATCCCCCTCAAAGAGCAAAGCAGAAGACTGCGATCAAGAGAGCAATACTCCAGCCGCAACCGGAAGCCAATGTTGAGCGGGGGGCGGGGCCAGTCTGGAGCGCGCTCTTGGCCAATAGGCACATCGCTTGGAAAACGAACTTCTCGTCCGTGCAGTTTTGAAACCGCGAGAACAGGCACGACTTATCGCGATGCTCCGTCTTTCTCTCCGCAGCTCCCTCTGCCCCCACTCTCCGTCGTGCGGGTTCCGCCCCG